CAATGTATCGTTGTCATCTAAAGTGCCGTGAGTGATACACTCATGGGCGTGGTCCGAAATCAGAGACGTCCACGGGACCGTGCCGTATCCCAGCGCCCAAACCATTGTATTAAGCCCAAGGATTTCATTATTTTCCTGTCCAGGTAGGAAAAATTTCTTTCTTTCGAGACGACATACGAGGGTTCACATTTGTTTTTGAAGCTATCATCTTTTAATCTTTGCCTAAACAGACGGGAGCTACAAGGTGGCTGGACCAGTTTGGTTTTGACTTCAGAGCTTTCTCTTCTCCTAAATTGGTTGCAATCCCAATCTCTCCTGCTATTTATCCATAGCTGGAGACGGATTCTTACCTATCCCAAGGGTATTAGCACCTAATTGAATGTAATGAACTCGACCAGAATTCGAACTCGGTCCTCCAATTCCTCAATCTGAGCCGCTATCGATTCCACCACCGAGCCTCCAAATCAATGTATAATAATAATAATAATAATAATAATAATAATAAATCTTTATTTCAGATAGTCAGGCCTAGATAATGATTTTGTATCGACACCCTTAGTCAGAAAATATGGAACAACAACATTTACATTAATTTTAATTTATGTTATTAAAAATAAAAATAGCGTAAATGAAAATATATATTTCCTAGGACACTTGAGACAATAATGTGTTTCTAGAGAAGAATGTTGAGAATACTATGGAAAATGGAGAAAATAAAAACAAGAAGGAGCTTATATTTACAATAATAAACAGTCTGCTGAAATGTCTAGGACACATAACGAGTAAAGAAGGCTTGGAGAATTTGAAGGCATGGAAGACAGAGGAAAAAAGTGAGTAACCTACCTAAAGAGCTTGTGTAAATGGATAGCAGAACAGGGACTAAGAGAAAGAGAGATATAGAGAGAGCAAATTGCTTCTTTTTTACGGCTTATCAACCCTTTGCAGATTATTTAAAAACAATTTATTTTTATTTTTTGCATTTAAAGAATTTTTTAGATAATAACGATTTCGTGATGTAAGTCTTACTAATTAACACATAGCTTTGGGGGAAGCCGCTAGATTCATACCTTTCCCAAGAGGATCTGCTAGTAAGTCTCTCTAATGAACCCAACTGGAATTGGAACTCGGCTCTCTGATTAACAATTCCGAGCCATTATTCATTACACCGCCCGCACATTCAAGCTTACAGTACCTGGTATTTTCAAGCAGTAACCCATTTAAGTACTGACAAGGCTTGATGTTGCTTAACATCGGTGATCGGAAAGGAACCCGTTTCAACGTGATGTGGTCGTAAACCCTGAACTGCACTGACTCAATTAAACGTTCGCTTCTTGAGAAATTGATTCGTTTTCATCAAAAGAATCGCGTGTCTATGAATTATCTGATCAATTTACAATGCAAGTGCCCAATTTACCAGATGCCTCCATTGTAAATTAAACACCCAGTATCACAACAAAGGACACAAAGTAGGTTTCCAGTTTTTCATTATAAGTACACTGTACAGGGTGGTCCGAAAGTCATGTTACTCCCTACCAAAAAGTAATGAGAGCAATAGAACAAGTAATACACTAACACAAAGCCTATATACTGGATTCACTTTCATCGATGCTGTCACACATCGAGAAGGTCTTTATAAACATCATCATTTTCGTTTCAGCCATCTGATATAGAAAATTATATTATGTAGGGGTGACAAGACTTTCAGACCACGCTGTTAATCATTTTACATTGGGGGACAATTTACTACTTAATAATAATAATAATAGAAAACCGATCCCCCATCACGTGTCCAGGAGAGGTTGTATAGGGTGGTCCGAAAGTCTTGTTACTCCCTACCAAAAAGTAATGAGAACATGTAATACAGTAATACAAAGCACATGTAATGGATTCAGTTAATTCATTTTCATTGATGCTGTCACATGTCGAGAAAGTCTGTATGAACACCATCATCATCCTGTATATTAATCATTTTTCTTAGGGGAACAATTTACTACTTAATAACAATAGCAAACCGATCCCCCATTTCCTGTCCAGGAGACAGGTACAGGATGGTCCGAAAGTCTTGTCACCTCCTACCAAAAAATAATGAGAACAATAGAACAAGTAATACATGGACTGGATGCAGTTTATTCACTTTTATTAACCCTGTCACACATAGACAAGGTCATGAGGAACACCATTATTTTCATGGCACAAAACGATGCGGCGCCATGTCTTGTGTGATATTTACGAAGCTGTACTTTGTTGGTTGTTGCAAAGGCCCTCTGTATTCCGTCCTTCACCTAATTGGTTTTCTGGTATCGTTTATGTGAAACTCTCTCCTTGATAATACCCTACAATTATATTATGTCGCGGTGACAAGACTTTCGGACCACCATTTATTATCACACATACACTCTGTTCCTTTGTATTTTCTCCGATAATCTTTTCACATAGGATAAGATTAGACTAAAACTGTTTTCTAAGTTCAGTTATCCTCCTGTACTCAAGTTTGTTAAAGCTGCTGCCATCTACCCAGGGTAGTTGTTATGCTGTAGGGTTAGATATAGATATATAGATGTATATATATATATATATATACAGGGAGGTCCGAATGTCTTGTCACCCCTACCAAAACTCAATGAGAAGTAATACAAATCACATGAATTGGATTCAGTTTATCCCCTTTCATTGAAACTGTCACACATCAAGAAGGTCTGTATGAATAACTGTTGAAACTTGATTAATGCATGGAATAATAATGCAACACAAAAGGTACTTAGAACAAAATGTATTGAAACAAGAAAGTGTACACAATATTTACATATAGTCTTTTGTATATTCCTGGTAAGACCGTTCCTGGAGAATGTGTTGACTGAGTCGCAGTCGGGCAGAGTCTCTGGTTGAATCTCTTGATTCCTTCCTCTCTTCCCGGTACCAACCATATTTATATGGTCGGTACTCCTATGCAAATTAGGTGGATCCTACCACAACAATAACCATCATTTTCATGACACAAAATGATGCAACGCCATGTCCTGAGTGATATTTTACGAAGCTGTGCTTTGTTGATTGTTGCAAAGGCTCTCCGAACGGCGTCCTTCAATTGATGGGTATTCTGGTATCGTTCATGTGAAACTCTCTCAATAATACGCTACAGAGGGTTGAAACAGAAGAAAATTATATTTATGTAAGGCTTTAGGATCACCCTGTTGGTCGATCATCAATTTTAAACTCGATTCACTCGCTTCTCTTATTAAAGTAATTAAAACATCGTGTACCTTGCGACATCCCTGCACACTGGCAGCGGAAACCCAAGGTAGCATGTCCCACACTTAAGGAACTTCTGCTCTATACTAAGCAGCGTATGAAGATCCCAGATGTACAAGTTAAGGACGCTATAATATCAGTTTATTTCAATAGTTGATTTCTTCATTTTTTTTTCAAATATATGAAAAGTTTAAAATAGAACATTAACAATTTCTAATAGGGTAATGAAAAATAAATTTAAGAATTAAATTTAAATGAATTGATTTTTTTATTATTTTTAATTCATTTACGTGGCGCTGAAAAAGTTTCATACCAAGAACTTTTCTGCACCTCGCGTTTTGTTTTAAGATTCTAACATGCAGAACCGATCATCGCAAAAGACACTGGAAAAATGGTCAGTTCGTTGGACCATTCCAGAAAGTAACTGGCTTCTTCTATCATGCTTTATCTTTACAAGAGTTGAATGACAACTAAAAATGGAGTATTGCTGGCACATCAGGACTGCAGTAGCACAACCCCCTCATTCCAGCACTGACAAAGTTCAAAAGCGTCTACGCGGCCTTGTAGGTGTTGAATTATTGTCCAACTTACAACCCCTCCCCGACAAACGAAACGTCGGAACCCTCTTGCTAGTCTATCGCTCTTTCCACAGAAAATAATCTGATGAACTACTGGTGGAAATTAGTATCTATCTATCTATCTATCTATCTATCTATCTATCTCAGTCTGTTCATATCTATCTCAGTCGGATCATAACCTATCTGTCTGTCTGTATATATATATATATATATATATATATATATATATATATATATATATATATATATATATATCATATTCATATCTATCTAAGTCTGTTCATATCTATTAGGTTGGTGCAAAAATAATGACATAATAATGTCGTTTTAGGACGTATTTTTAACGTCAAAAACGACATTATTACGTCATTATTTTTGCACCAACCTAATATCTATCTATCTATCTATCTATCTATATATATATATATATATATATATATATATATCAGTTTGTTCATATCTATCTATCTTTCTTAGTCTATTCATATCAATCTATCTATCTATCTGTGTATCTATCTATCTATCAAAAGCGATCCCCCATCACCTGTCCAGGAGAGTTGTAATGGGCGGTCCGGAAGTTTGACCAGTTCAGACATTTACAGCTCCGATCCGCCATGGAACGTATACAGGGTCGAACCAAACCCCATTCTCTTCGTATTCCATTGGAAAGCATCAATTTCCATTTGGACAGCCTCTTCCCAAGAGCCGATGCTTTTAGGAACAGACTCCCGAGAGGATGCTTCCATGACTCTTCCTTGTCTAGATCTTGGGCCTTGAATTGGCTGAAACAATAGCATAAAACAAATTATTACCCGAAATTGTGGAAACGACATTATGCAATATAATGGTGCTCGTTTCGTTGTCTATGTGTTGGAGGAGGGGGTTGCAGTCAGTGTCTTCAGATGGGGGCGGCGTTAGGAGGGTGTTTTCAGATGATGACTGAGAAAAGTGGGCGAGTAATGAGGGAATTGCCCAAATTTATCGCGAGTTAAACGCCAGACTAAATGAAAGTACAGTGTTTTGGAATTAAGAGACTTATTTATATATCACTAATGAGATTTACTCATCCTCAGAAAAAATGGAATGCTTCCGAGAATAGAAGAAATGAAAAAAAAATTAACAGCGTCGACAACATGAAGGAATCCGAAAAACAAACGGAAAGTGAACATTCTA